TGAAGTGTTTATTGACGTCTTGGTTGAAAATTTTACAATGAAATCACGACATTTGATCTTATTTAAGAAGTAATTCATATTTATCTAAGTACTTGTTTCCATTTGCACCGCAGCGGATAAGATATTATCTGTTTTCCAAGAATTGGTTTCGCAATTCATTTATATTCAGTACAGTACAGAAAGACAAAACAAAATTGGCAGTCAAATAGAAAATACTTATTACATGCTAAAACTTCCTATACATCTTTTCATGAAATTTTTACTTCCCGAGCGTAAGCAAAGGAAGTATTGTAATCGAGTCCGTCGGCCGACTCTCTACTTTTACGTTTTCTCGATCTTTCATGACTCCTAGAATACGAAGAAATAGGTCTCCCATTTCCGTCTGTCTGTCCGTCTGTCTGTCCGTCTGTCCGTCTGTCCGTCTGCCGTCCCGGATTTTTATTAGACAGATAATCTCCGAAAGTACTGGACCGATTGTTGTGAAATTTTGTACATATATTAGGAATATCATGTAGATGGTAAAACGCTAACCAAAATTTGTCTAATCATCCCCACCACTAATGCGATGACGTCACTTCAAAATTGTACATAGTAAATGGGTCTTAAATTGTATAAAATAACATAGTCCTACACATGTAGTTTACGACTCCGAATTCAGTTTTTACCCGAAACGTCCAGATTTTTGGAAAAAAAATCAAAATCATAAAACAACATTTTGCAATTTAATTTTGAATCTGTTAACCCGAATGTTTTAAAATGTTGCAGATGTTTTAAGGCTCCAAAGAGCGTCATAAATCTTTAGTCAAAATATATTTGGTTATCCCCTCCAAAAACTTGATGACGTCAGCTCAAAAGTTTGCCGAATAAATCCTATTTAAATTGTGCAAAATATGATGCGTCTGTTCTTGTGATATATCACTCCATTCATATTTTTTGGATTTGCATATACAGGGTGGCTCAAAAAAATTAATGAATGCGCAAAATTTATTTTACTGATTTACTCAGGAACTACAAAACCGAATGCTTTGAAATCTTGAAGATGTTTTAAAATTATCATAAGCATGGTAAATTTTTGATCAAAATGTATTTGGTCGTCCCCTCCTAAAAAATTTATGACGTCACCACAAAATTTTGCTGAATAAATCCTATCTAAAATGTACAAAATATGGTGAGTATCTTGTTGTGATTTATCATTCCATTCAAATTTTTTCGATTTGCATATACAGGGTGACCGAAAAAAATTAATGAATGCGTCAATTTATTTTATTGATTTAATCAGGAATTACAGAACCGAATGCTTTGAAATCTTGGAGATGTTTTAAAGTTATCATTAGCATGGTAAATTTTTTATCAAAATGTATTTGCTCATCCCCCCTAAAAAATTGATGACGTCACCCCAAAATTTTGCTGAATAAATCCTATCTAAAATGTACAAACTATGATGAGTCTGTTCTTGTGATTTATCATTCCATTCAAATTTTTTCGATTTGCATATACAGAGTGACTCAAAAAATTAATGAATGCGTGAATTTATTTTATTGAGTTAATCAGGAACTACAAAACCGAATGCTTTGAAACATAGGAGATGTATTGAAGTTATCATAAGCACGTTAACTTTTTTATCAAAATGTATTTGCTAATCCCCCCTCAAAAAATTTGATGACGTCAGCTCGAAAGTTTGCCGAATAAATCCTATCTAAAGCGTAAAAATATGATGAGTCTGTACTTGTGATTTATCACGTCATTAATATTTTTTAGATTTTCTTAAGAGGTGGCTCAAAAAAATTAATGAAGTCAATTTATTTTATTGATTAAATTAAAGGCAACACTTATTATTAGTATTACATTGGACCAACCCAATTTGGTAGACACAAAATTTTTTAAAGTAAAAACTCGGTTGAAACATAAGGGTAGCACGCTTATTTACATCGACTTTAACATTACAGACGTGTGCGCTGTCTAGGTTCCGCGAATGTGGAATAGACATGTTTATAATCAACCAATTGTGAATTCCACCGTCAAAAATTAAAATAAAACTCAATATTTTATATAATAAGCGGAAGTCGAAGCAATAAAATCGATGGTCGTTTTGTTTACAGTTTATCTGTTTGACTCTCACGTATGCTGTTACGCTTGTCATATTAAATTAAGAATGTTTATACATAAACGATTTTCAGTTGCCTCTCATATTACTAGACAGCGGATTTCTGTCGGGCTACGTCACGATTATAGGTGAGGACGCGCTGGATCGCCGGGACTCAATAGCGGGTGATAGATAATCACTGAATTTAATCGGTACTAATTCCATAAATATAATTAACGATTTATTAATCAAACGGCTAAGTAAATGAGAGCGGGAATTAACAGCAGAGTGCAACGAAACAGCGTTATTCAAATCTCAAATAAACGAAGTGCAGTCCGTAACCGCAATGAATTCGCATCCCGTACGAGCCGTACCGACTTTGGCCTTGCCTAGCCCGACAGAAATCCGCTCTCTACATATTACACACCGGCGCCGTATACGTGAGTAAATTGTTTCGTTATTTTATTGATTATAACAAATCAATATTCAAAACGACCCGATTCATTTTCCCGAAAATTTGGGAATACAATAATTTTATCTTAGTATTACACTACATCTATCCCAACTGATATACGTGTCCTTGCAAAAGTGTTGATGACGTCATCGCAATTTTTTTTTAAATTCCCACTACAAAAATGTAATGAGAAAAAAATACAATAGGCATGCAGTTGTCAAGTTTCCGACAGCGAGGGAAGTACTGTCTAAACTCTTTAGACCAATTTTTTTATTATAAAAAAAGTAATCGCCAGAAATTTGCCACAATTTTGTGGAAAATTTATTGGTGCTTTTGATGGTCGACAGAGAAACCGAAGTTAAACAGAAACATTGCATGATATAACAATTGTTTTCGTTATATAGATAAATAAATAAATTAATCAATAAATACAATACAAATCTTCACAATATCTGAAGACAGATGAAGGATGTAGGTATGGGTACAAATATGTCCACCATAAAATATGCACTGTTTTTCTTTTGATTTTCGTCTTTCGTCAATTGTGTTCCGCTAATTGTGAATATTGTGTTGATTAGAAAGAAAAAAAAATTGGTCTAAAGAGTTTAGACAGTACTTCCCTCGCTGTCGGAAACGTGACGACTGCATGCCTATTATGTTTTTTTTTCGCAGTAGATTTCAAAGCATTCGGTTTTGTAGTTCCTGAGTAAACCAATAAAATAAATTTACGCATTCAATTTTTTTCAGTCACCCGGTATATGCAAATTCAAAAAATATTAATGGAATGAAAAATTACAAGTACATACTCATCATATTTTGTATATTCTAGATAGGATTTATTCGGCAAACTTTTGAGCTGACGTCAACAGTTTTTTGGAAAAGATAACGAAATATATTTTGACTAAAAATTTATTATGCTCTTTATAACCTTAAAACATCTGCAAGATTTCAAAACATTCGGTTCTGTAGTTCCTGATTAAATCAATAAAATACATTTACGCATTCATTAATTTTTTTTGGGTCACTCTGTATATGCAAATCCAAAAAATTTGAATGAAATGATGAATCAGAAGAAGAGAGTTACCATATTTTGTACATTTTAGATAGGATTTATTCAGCAAAATTTTGTGGTGACGTCATAAATTTTTTAGGGGGGATGAGCAAATACATTTTGACCAAAAACTTACCATACATATGATAACTATAAAACATCTTCAAGATTTCAAAGCATTCGGTTTTGTAGTTCCTGAGTAAATCAGTAAAATATATTTACGCATTCATCAATTTTTTTGAGTCATCCTGTATATGCAAATCCAAGTACAGACGCATCATATTTTGTACATTTTAGATAGGATTTATTCGGCAAACTTTTGAGCTGACGTCATCAAGTTTTTGGAGGGGATAACCAAATATATTTTGACTAAAGATTTATGATGCTCTTTAGAGCCTTAAAACATCTGCAACATTTCAAAACATTCGGGTTAGCAGATTCAAAATTAAATTGCAAAATGTTGTTTTATAATTTTGATTTTTTTTTCAAAAATCTGGACGTTTCGGGTGAAAACTAAATTCGAAGTTGTAAACTACATGTGTAGGACTATGTTATTTTATACAATTTAAAACCCATTTACTATGTACAATTTTGAAGTGACGTCATCGCAGTAGTAGTGGCGATGACTAGACAAATTTTGGTTAGCGTTTTACCATCTACATGATATTCCTAATATAAGTACAAAATTTCACAACAATCGGTCTAGTACTTTCGGAGATTATCTGTCTAATAAAAATCCGGGACGGCAGACAGACGGACAGACGGACAGACAGACGGATAGACAGACGGAAATGGGAGACCTATGAATGATCGAGAAAACGTAAAAGTAGAGAGTCGGCCGACGGACTCGATTACAATACTTCCTTTGCTTACGCTCGGGAAGCAAAAATACGGTTGGAAAAAGCTCCAATCATTGTATTATTCCACACATACTTTATTCACATGCAATATTCTTCTCATACCGATTAACTTCTTGTTAATTGTTATCAAAAAAGAATAAACACAACGAAACATTTTTATAAACGTTTATCACTAGTTTTCACAAAAAATGTCGTAGAGCACCGACAAAGTCAGTGCCCTGTACGCAGCGTAGAATCTGGTAATTTCAGAAATTCGGCAAAACTTTGAGAAGATATTTTTTCCAATGGGTTGTTTAATGCACTTATTCCCTCTGTAATTTATAAATAACCGTTTGTGCGGCGCATTTTTAGGCCTCAGTCTGGCGTATTTCTTGTACAGTTCCAAATAACTGATCGACTTTTTTTGCTCATGAACAATGGTAAATCGGCGCGACTTTTGTGTCTTGGTGTCAGGTACGCTGATATTATACACAATCTATTTCTATTCTCGACAGTTCCTCTGTCCTGCAACCTCGACCCATAGTAGTAAATTTTTAATCCCTATAGATTAAAATGGAATTGTCAACTGCCGACGAAACAGTCGAAAGTTGTTGCTGTAAAATTAAGTTGAAGAAGTTCGTGATAAATTTAAATTACGAAGTTGACGTAAGTTCATGCAATAGCAGCTACACAGCAAAATCAAAACTATAGTCGCTGAAGCTTTCTTCATTTTTGCTGACGTAATTGGAGAATGATAAATGGGCTATTACTTGTTTATAGCGACTCGTATTAGATTTATTTGTCAAGGATTTTTATAAGTAGACACGAAAGACAATTAAGGCAGTTATTTGTGTGTTTAGTATGTTCGTACGTATAATAAAGAAAAATAATCGGAATTATAGAAGCAAAATATAAATTTTGATAAAAGTCAGATTTTCTATGGATACTGGACTCACTTGGACCGGTTAAAAAGTAAAACACAGACGAAATGCAGATCACAGGCGAAGGGGTAATATAGCAACAAAAGTAAAATTTTGTCTGTATTTTTTAACAAACTACTGATGGTAGATATTGGCAAGACCAGTGGAACACATTTTACAAGCGGGCCCAGAAGATCGGAACATTTTTAAACAACTATTTGGTGCTTGTAATGTTTGGGTAAAGTGCCCCCAAGACGAATTGAAAATCTTTAATGATATTGAAAGTGGATTATACGATATGCTTATTATGTAAGTCTACCTTAATTACCTACTTTATTCTATGTATTTTTTCCAGACTAGACGATATTCTGGACGGAACGGTACTTCGCAAAGGACTTCCTTCTGCCCACTTGGTCTATGGAATTCCGCTAACGGTGCATGCCACAGAACATAAGATGTTTCTAATAATGAAAAATATACTCTGCTGTGCGAAAATTAGGGAGGTATCAACAACCATTGATGAAAATTTATATTTATCTTATTGTTTATGTTTTCATTTAGGACATCGCTATTAATGATTTTATCACTTTGGGTATTAGATTTTTCACTGGACAAGGACTAGAAATCTATTATAGAGACATTCAACAATGCCTACTTTTGACGATTTTAGAGTACTAATTCGTGCTAGTAGGTTCAAGATTTTATAATTTTTGTAATGGAGAGACTCCTGTTGTAGAATATGCCACTGCCTTCGTGTGGGGACTCCTATGGTTAAAACTCTGTGCTAAAAACGATAAAATCGAGTTGAGTGTAGATTTTTGTGACAAAATAGGTGAATTTCTTCAGATATATGACGACTACATAAATTTGCACAGTCCCAAGGTAACGAACCAATTTAAAAGTTTTTCACTTGTTTGAAGTAATTTTCTAGTACGCAACCGTTCGGATTTTCTCCGACGATTTGGATGAGGGAAAATTCAACTTTCCTGTAATACATGCAATTCACACCCATCCCAACGATCATCGCATTCTGAGTATCCTTCATATAAAATAGAAGTTTTACTTTATCAAGGACCCAATATCACGATTCATTTTCTTAATTCTCCGTCTTAGATATGTTAAAAAAAAGACCACTGGACGTAGAAAGTAAGAAACTCTTTGTGGAGATAATGGAAAGTTTTGGAAGTTTCGAGTACACGAGAAAGGTACTGGAAGAGTTGAAAAATGGAATTCTGGTCGACGTGGACAACATGAATGTGGGAAAAAATTTATATCTAGAACGAGTTCTCCACGATGTACTCGATAATTTAGAAACGGAAATTTATTACGATGGTTGCGACTAATATAACCTTGGCGATTGCATGTGTTTCATTTGTTTGTAAAGGTACGATACCAAATTAATTCTACAGGACGGCAGAAAGTTTAGTCGATTAATTATAAGTTAAAATGTAATGTATCTTCGAAGTGTCTACTTTTAAATTAAAATAACAGTTCCAAATATGCTTTGTATACACTATTTACTTTACTTAACCGCATCATACATTTGTCATACAAAATTCTTTATTCCTCGTTAATTGAAAAAGTTCTGCGCCGGTACTTTTCGCAAAATATTATTGAACCACACTATAAAATATTGTGTGTAGCAGTGGCGGCTCGTGACTGTCTGATGTGGTGAGGCGATGATAGAAGTTTGACAATAATAACATTAATAATAATATTGTAACGAAGCGAATTTTCGCTGGCCGGAAACCGTGACGCGCACCGCGAGAGCCGGGGGTAAATTCGCGATCGCCGCGCCGCCGCGGCGGAAGGAGAGGGACTCTTGCCTGAAACTCCAAGGAGTGCGGAAGTGCTGGGGCGATTTTCTGAGTGAAGAGGAGTATTTTTGAGAAGCAAGAAGAGTTGTGGATTTTGAGAAGCGAGAAGAGTGCAGTTTGACCCTCCGACCACCGTAAGTACCTTTTTGGGTCGTCTGCCCGTGTTAGTACCGGTTTTGGAACCGCTGCCCCCGAGCGAGAAACCGTGTCACCGTCACCGCGTTTTTTTTGTTACCGTCGAAAGTCGACACCGTCGTGCACGCGTCGTTACCGTCACCGCGCTCCCCTCCCGGGTCGCCGTACCGTTTTCGCGCGATTTCCAGATCTCAAGGTCGCCGCCCCCAGAGCCAAGAGGAGCCCGGCCTGAAGGAAGTCGCCGCCCAGGAGGAACGACCGTGCCGGACGTTTAATTTTCTTTTTGTTGTAAAACCGTTGTATAGTTATTTAAGTTGCTTAGCCGTAAGATTTATTATTTTAGACCGTGTAGCTGGTGGCAGGGACCTATTTTATTGTAAAATATTTCTTGCCGTTTTATTTTATTTATTCTCGGGTTTTCGCGGCGGCTCATCACCTGAATTCCGTGTCTCCGGCTTTAGAGCACCCCGGCGCTCCCTCCCCCGGAGAGGGAGCTGGCGCCCGAGCGACCGCCGCTCCTGACCGAAGGCGCCACCCCCGGCGGCGTGAAGGTAGCCGCATAAGCTTGGTCGACCAGACGTGTTACTGACATCAGCGATACTAGTCGACCCAAAGCTTGGCACTCAAGTACGCCGCCACCCCATACGTTATCGGCGAGATTCCGGACCGTCACCGGACCGACCGTCCGTCCCACATCCGGAATTTCGTCGCAATATTAATAATCAAATTAATTAAATTAATGTGATTAATGCATATTACTTGGTCTTACTAATTAGTATTACTAATTAGTAATGATAGAAATCTTGTCCGAATACCGGTAATTTCCGGGTCAGTGGTAGGTCCTAATAATAATAATAATATTAATAATAGCACCCATAATACATTTAATCAACAATGATTTACAAGTTAAAATTTTGTTCAAATAACTAGCACTTTCTTGGAGGGATTCGGGAATAGTTGTCTTCCTTTGTAAAGGTTTGAGGCCCATGAAATTTTTAATGTGTACTTTGGAACTTTCATGTAACTTTGCGCTTCGGATGAAATTATTTAAATCGTTATATCCCGGGACGTCAAATATTACGGCAGAGCCATTTATATATGTTTCGTACCAAGTTGATTTAAAAGACTTGGAGTACTGACGATTCTGTCGCTTATCAATGGAAGTTAAATGAATTAACGGTTTTGACTGCTCGATATTTAGCAAAATTTACCGACGTTCTAGCTCGCACCACATCAACACGTGGGCTTTTACTCACGTTCATGCTAATTACCCACCCCGCAGCCCTTTCGTTCTGTAAAATAAATGGGAAAATGGTTTAATGAGTACGCCGAAAATGGCCGAGAAGCACCGAAGATATCGCCTCAGTTCCGAGCGAACGCATGTATAGGAGAATAGGAGCTGAGCCATGGAAATTCGTGTCTGTGATTGGGCTTCGTTGGTTCAAGTGAACCGACGTTCTGGCCGCTTCAGTTAAACAATTAGGAGCATAAATCGTACGGTATTCAACCAAAAATGTCAGCAGAAAGCGTAAAAAATAAAAAATCATCTACAGATTTGCCATTTCAACATATTTTTGTAACTAAAAATGCATTGAAAGCTCTTTTTTAATTACAAATTAAGTCAACCTGTTCTTAAGATATATGCTGTGAGGCGCCGGCTCACTTGCCTCATCTGACGAGCCGCCACTGGTGTGTAGAAATGTGGAAATAGTTCTAGCAGGTATTTACACGCGTAGTTTCCATTTTGGTTAATTTTGGCATTCAGAGCATCGTTCTGCCACTGATCATCAAATACTTTCGTATAATTAAATATGGTTTGTTGAGGTAGCATATAAGCAGGGGCGGCTTGTCCTATGAGGCAGGTGAGGCAGTGCCTCACCAATGAATTTTACGCCTTATTAGGATTTTTATTATTTTATACGGACACATTTCGGCCAATAATTTGTGTCTTTTTTCTAAAATTTTAAAAATAAATATAGAAAATTATATTCTTATTTTTATCTCGGTAGGTACTCGTTGCTCCCTTAATTAAACAGCGCGCTTAAACACTCGGCACAACATGTATTTTGTGACGCGAATGAGGCCGACTCGAAGCTTGCCTCTACAGCATATATAGAAATCATGTCGTTAATAGGCAAGCAACCTGCAATACACTTATAAGCGGTATGAGTTGAAAAAAGACAAAATTGAGGCTAGCCTCATTTCCGTGCTTGCAAAAGAGATGGACAACTATATTATTTGCGCGCGGGGAACGTGCGATTGCAATGCAGTCTGCATTCGCAGGAGTATTCAAAATTAGGCCGTTGATTGTTTTGCCACAAATCTGTGTGTGTATAAATTGATTCAAAATTTCGGTAACAGAATTTTGTCTTAAAAGTGCCTACGTTTGCGTGGGTCGCGTTAGTGCTTTGTGCTTGTCATAATTTGATTTCGGTAATCGTTATTTAAGATTACGAGTAAATCGGAATTTTTCTCTACTAACGTTAAATGACAATGGCAGTTCTGTTTTTTCTACTTTCACGTATGATGATAAATTGTATGTAGTTAAGGAATTAAAACCGCCGGTTCCTGATTTGAGTAAATCGTTAATTGATCCATAAAAAAAAATTTAAAATAAATCCGTATTTATATTTTATATTTTTTTCATTTTGTTTTTTGTTATAAATCAAATTAGCTTTATTTTATGTTGTATTTGATCCTTTTCGATATGTTTCCTTTAAAGTTTATTTTAATTTTGTTTTTTGTTAGAAGTTATATTAGTTTTTTCTGACCACGCTTCCCTTTCCTTTTGTCCTGTCATTCTCATCCTTTCCTTGCAAGACCTCCTTACACCTTCACGTTGGTTCTTTGTGGACAGTTAAATGAGTTTACAAATTTGTTTATTTGACTAAATAGAAAATATTTAAGTAAACTTGATTTATTTATATTTTAGAGCGTTTTGTGCTGTGCCTCATCAATTTTTCAAGTCATGAGCCGCCCCTGCATATAAGTACTTACAACGTACTGTTGACCGCTGTAAAATAGACTGTGCCATTTCTTGGAACTTCTTGCAGGTTAAATGTTAGTTCGAAAGTCGGATTAACTGAAAAATACAAACTGTGAATGATCCAGTCTAAAACAAAGGATCTTCTTACCTAACAGAATAGAACTATTTCTATCTTATCGTGTTCATTGGAATGGTGATAAATCTGCCATATATTCCATAATTAGAGAGCGAATTTTATGAAATTTGCATATCCGTTATTTTTTTGCATATAAATCTTGATATTTGATTAATCAAGTTCTGGTTATCGATACGGTTGGTGTGAGTCTTGATCTTATAGTTTTCAATACTAATTGTCGGCAACATTCACACGTGTTAATAGACACAACAGTAGTTTGTTATAGCTGTTTTTTTTTGTGTGTAGATGTGTATTTGGCATGAAGTTTTTGCAAGTATATGTACATAGTATAAACGCACAATTTTAAAATAAGTTTTTATTAAAACAAAGAGACAGCTGAATGTGTGAACTCTCTCTCTCGACGTATGAGTACGTTCTGCCCTCTCTTGCCCCGGAACTCCTCGTCCACATCTCATGTGCGACTCCATTCAGACGCACACGAGTCCATAAAATTCAAGGGCGCTTACAATAGTTTTTTCTTTTTTCTCTTAACTTATCAACGACGTTGGCTGCCGCTACGCGGCGCTGGCTTAAGCGGTGTTCTCACTCAAGTCCATTAGTGGCGCTGGTATAAAAACATTTTTTTGGGTACTAAAATGACATTGTTGATGTTTTATTTTCATCTAACCTAAATATAATGTCGGTAGCGAGTACTTCAACAACACCAAAGAGTGGAGGCTCACCAAATTCTGTTTCTGAAATATGTCCAGCGTGCAAGCAGGGCTATGAAAGTCTCAGCTGATTCCATAAGAAATACATGGGGAGCTTACGGAACGACATAAAGAGGTCACTAGCGTTCTAAAGGTGCTCCGACCTTGAAGAACATAGTTTCTTTTTCATTTTAAGATTTTCGGTGAACGTTTTGCCTGGTTTTGTCAATAAGAAATGTCATATTAATTACGGAATCATACGGGATGTTGGGTTATGGGGTTAAAAACAAACGTAAAATTTATTTTAACAAAGTAATAGATACTTACGATACATGTAAAAAATACTAGAAAATTACAGGCTAAAGAGGTCAACAAACTGCAGGTTAAACGAAATAGTTTAATTTTCGATGTGTGCGTGTTTGAGCGGTCCAAGATTTATTTTTAAATTTTAGTGTGTAAAAAATTCTAACTCTAATAAAAACTGAAACGAGGTAATCAAGAGGAAAGTCTTTGCAGGGTTGGTGGAATGGTATTTTTGTATGGTTCGTTTTTCAGCCGCAAACCAGTTAACGACTACGGTGCATAAATTGGAAAAAAATTAAAAAATGTATTACCCATTAGCGAAGTATAAAATGCAAAATGTTTAGGTGGCATCATTAAATCGCCAAAAATCACATCTTCATTGAAGACTTTAAAATGTCACACAATTAAAACAG